AATTTGAATTCTTTAAACATTCATTAAACTAAGTTTTGTAGTAACATCCAGGTTTATCTTCCTTTCACTAACCATGTTCCCTGTTAAGCACATCATAACAACAACACAGTGAAGTGCATGATGAAATAAAAGAATTTTGACACTAGAAAACAGTGCTTAGTGATACATTTACGTTCTATTTATATGATTAAACATTTGATCATACAGTACAGTACCTTCCTACAGGATTACTGGCTAATTTGGGGGGGGGTTTGTACTGTTAGAGGTATTACTAACATGATAACTACTTCTCTTATATGCAAACATTAGAGCTATAATTTTATTGAGAGTAAAACTGATTATGCAAGTTGACTGAGCAGCTTCTCAAATAATGGTGGTTTATGAAATCATATGAAATATGAGTAAAGCTGCTTTTCACATAAAATGGTTTATCATCCTGCTTTTCACCACATCAAATTTAATCAGTACAGACCAACACGGTCAATCAGATAATTCTTAATATGAACAAATGGGTAAAAAGAAAAAAAATATATGTACATGAACAAACAGGGGAACTAGATGCGTTTTAGCAAGGAATGTCAGGTGGTAGTTCTGGATGACACTTGTATTTCAGTTTTCATTTCCACAGTTGTGTGCTGAGAGTCTGACCTGATGAGCTTCCAGACCATCCTGCTGTTGTGGTAGGGGGCTGGCCAAAACCCGCTGCAGGGTGAACCCTCATATATTCTTGATAAGAATGTAAAATGGTACAGCCACTTTGGAAAGCAGTTTGACAATTTTTCAAAAAATTAAACATAAAATGACCACATAACCCAGCAATTCCACTCCTAGGTATATGCCCAAGAGAAATGAAAACATGTTCACAGACTTGTACACAAGTGTTCGTAGTGAGATTACTCATAATAGGCAAAAAGTGGAAACAATCCAAATGTCCATCAATTTGTGAATAAGTAAACAATGTGTGTTATATCCAGACGATAGAGTATTATTTGGCAATAAAAATGAACCAATACATGCTGTAACATGGATGAACCTAAAAAACATAACAGATGCAAAAGACTATATATTGTGTGATTCCATTGAAATTTCTAGAAAAAGCAAATTGTAGATACAAAAAGCACATCAGTGATTGCTGGGGCTGGGGCTAGGAGCCAGGTTCGGCTGCAGATGGGCATGAAACAACTTTATGGGTTGATGGAGTTCTAAAACTAGATTTTGGTGATGCTTGCACAACTGTATAAATTTACTAAAAATCATCAAACTGCACACTTGTAATAGGTAAATTTTTAAA